AACGCGATCGCGATGGGAAACGCAGACGCAGCGACTACGGCGGCTGTAGTCGTTGCCACTGACCTTAGAATTGACGCCATTTCTTTGTTCTTGAGCTTATGCGGCTTTTTATTTCTGACCAAAAGTCGCAACCTTTAAATTAGTATTTTTGAAAAAAAAAATCAACAAAAATAAAGTTTCGTGTAATTTGTTGACAAAAACACCATCCTTGTTATTAATTGTTGTTTTTGCAAATTAAAAAAAAATATTGATTTACAAAAGTAACAAACTTTATAGAAAATAATTACATTTTTAGCCAAAACCAGGAGGGAGCTCAGGATCTTCATCATCAGTATTATCAATGTAGTTCACTTTGTTTTCTTCTACAGTTCTTTGAATCAGTTCTTGCTTCTGTTTACTCAGTTGACCAGACCGAGGTGGCTCCTCTGGCTCGTTGTCTAAACGGGGACGAGACGAGGTTTCTCCGTTCGGGACTGTTGTTGGGATGTTATGTGCTGCTATTCTTGTGGATGATCTGTCTTGAACGCCTCCCGGGTTTGATAATGTGGCATAGACCGATTGCACGGTTTCTCTGATTTCGTTCTTCATCCCATCCTCTGATCTTATTATCCCCCACAACCCATCTGAGAGCTGGCTCAGCATCTTGCTCCTACAAGAAAGACAATCCGAAAAGATCAAAACTTTTTTAGTACGTTTACAAAGCAAGAGTCACCGAATAGAAGGAACCCTCTCTTTAACTTACCCAACTTCTTCAAATATCGCATCAGAGAGTTGCCTGGTTTTCATATTTTGAGCAACCGGTCGATTCAAAGCTGTTGACTCCTTGACAATAGAGATCATGTTGTTTCGTAATTCCTCCTGCAATCCAGTCACCGCTTTACTAGTCAGAACGAGATGGAAAACACACGCAGTCCAGAAGAAGAAAGCTCGAGATGTTTAATCAACACTGTTAATAGAACAATCCCCTTGCTCCTCGACTAATCTAGCAGAGAAGTAATCTGAAGTCTTATGACTACTAAGACTCTTATCCAAAATTCTACRATGCCCATTGGATGGATTGATGCAACTTTAAGGTCTCTTCAAAGTTAATGGATCATCATCAAACAACTTGACTAAACCATATTCAAGTTCCTTGCTCTTTCAAATATTGCAAAAGACAAAAGTAATGCTTGACAAAAAAAAAGCCAGCAGAAATCAACCATAGCCATTATGATCTAACATCAATAAGAAAACTTTCTCCTCTAGAATCTGATTTGGCTAAAGATAACATTGCACGGAAACAAGGAGGTATCTTCAAGACATTTTGATAAACTCTCTAAACCACCATTGGTTTACCCACTTTCACTATTTACTCGAAGAACATCTCACCGAACTAAAGATCAGTCACCAAGCCATTAACACAAATTTCCACTGAAAACGAAGCTCAAGATATAGTTCTCCACACACATAACCATAAATCAGCTGTGACCACATGAGAGAGCTAACGCAAGATAAAGCCATCATCGACATCCAACGCCACATCACACGAAACAGAAGATCGAAAATTTCGATCAAGAAGACACAAGTAGCCGATGGGCTCAGTCTAATATGAAACAAAGAGCAAACTTTCATCAAACTTGCAATGACTATACACTAATTATCAATTGCATTCGCTCTTTACTTAAGTGAAATTGACTAACAAGATTCCATCCATGGATTCGATAGGCAGATGAATTCAAGGAGCGATTTTTAGTGAAGCAAAGCAGATTCCAAGCCCGACTCATCATAATTACAGGTCCTAAAGCCACCAAGGTATTGGGAATCGAGAGAACCGAAACCCTAATTTTGAGGGAAATATGATGCAATGCAAAGAGTAAAAAGACGTCGGAGGAAGAGGGGTTTACGTTATCCTTGAGGCGGCGTATGATTTTGAGGCGGAGACGGTCGAAATCACCGTCGTCCTTAAGCTTCTCTACAACTTCCTCCTTGCTTATCTTCCTCGCCATCTCTATGTTTCTTCCTCTTGATTTCTAATTTTGCCTTCTACTTTCAGAAATTTGGTTCAAATAATATACCATATTAATTTAAACCGGATTAAATTCATATACCGTATGAAAAAAAACTAATTCAAGTTCATTCTTCAAGATAGGCCTCGGCAAAGAGCTAACCGTTTAAAACGGATATTTGATTTTCTGATCCGGTTCTATTCGCTAATCGAAATTTTATAGGTATCTGCAAATATCCGATTCGATTCGTGGAAAATCGTATACCATGATTTTTTTAAAATATTCGTCGATATCTTATCCGGTTAACATTTTCAC